GACATAATTAACACCATACTTATCAGTTTGGTATAGGCAAACACTTTCATATAGGGAAAAGAGTGTAAAATATATTTTAACTTTAGTTGAAAATGTTGTTACAATTCCTAACTTTATGAAGGATCTTTTAACCTCTACATTATTTAATAGTATATTTTAGAGGTATATAAGTGTTCACACGGACACATTACTATTTATAATGATTCAACATATATGATGTTCACGTGGACACAAACATATCTTAAAAATATACTATTAAATAACGCAGAGAAGTAAGAGATCAACTGGCACTGAGACATTAACTTCTCAAACAGGAAATAAGGAACTTCTTCTTGGAGCCACCTTCGATCTTAGGATCACAGCTTCTATAAAACAAAGGATATGTTTGGATTAACATTTAGTTTATGACTTACAAGCTAAAAGCCATTATTTTGTCTTTAAAATAAGGGCTTATAAGAACTTTTAAAGTTTACCCAAATAGTTTAAAACTGGTTAAAAGCTATTTTGGCTTAAAAACACTTAAAATAAGTCAATCCAAGTGGAAACTAATTGTTGGAGTTTTCTCAATCGGAGAAGCTTAAATCTTTGTCAGAGATTTCCTTTTTCTGGAATGAGATTCTACATAGGTCATTCCATATCGCGGATTTTCCAATCCGTCTAGCTCTAGTGTGCTCGTCCGAGTGGTCAGGTAACTGTCACTTTCCAATGTTTTTCACCGTTACAACAATTTCGATCAAAATTCAAATATATTTCAAAAAATGATTCCCTTTCAAATATGAGGAAGTTGGATAAATTGTTAGACTAAGCATCTCACAACTTATTGTGGAATGAAGATATCTGAGGGAAATTAATGTAATCATATCATCCAATTAATTCTTTAGTTTTTAAAAATGGTGATAATTACTGGAGGTATCTAAAAAAGATCCCTTGGTTTTGGCGGAATAATTTTTAATAATATTTATGGTATGAAAGAGTATGAAAAAAAATATTTTTTTCCTGTGAGCTAATTACTTGCTAATCAAGACGAATGTAATTTGGATAATGCTAATACTAATATAGAAATTAGAAATAACCTTGAAGTGTAAGTGGGGAAATAGATTCATTTGGTCTAAATAAGAGGGAAAGCTGCTGCCCGGTTCATACATAACTACTAGCTATCTACCTTACTAGGTGTAAAAACCTCACTTACTTCCTCAGAAGCTTTTTCCTTCGTATAAAAAAAGCATATTACATTCCTCTATGTCCAAACTGTTCACGCCAAAAGTGAGATTCAACCACTTGTTTCGTCTCCTATGCTTACTGAGCCCTCTAATTGTTCATTAGCATTAGTGTTTTACTAGTATTTTAAAATTGTTTTATTGTGCAATATTTGATTAGGATTAGGTTTGTCAATTTGTTCAGGGGTTAGTTGTATTAGCTATCGTTATTTGTTCCTTTATTCTAGGAGTTAGTTAGGTTGATTTTGTTTATTCCATATGTATAAAAACTCTAAAATAGTCTCATCAAAGCTATACACTTTCTTTTGCTTTATTTCTCTGTCTTTATATGGTATCAGCGCCAAAATACTCTAAGGAGTAATTTTTTTTTCCTCGTTAATGACTCCCTGCATACCAGTTGCGAATGTTGAATGCTTCCCCTATCATTAAATACCTAACTCGGTTTAACCCAGCCTCTCAACTTCCCATTAAACTATCTGGCAGCTACAACTTCATATTTAGTCCAACCCAGATTTCCATGCTACTTCATGGCCACGACCTCTATGGTCGTCTTGACGGCACCACATTGTCTCCTCCAAAAACAATTATCACTCACGCAACTAAAACTGTAAACATCGAGTATAAAGATTGGTTTCAACAAGAGAAACTGATTCAAAATGCTCTTATTGCCTCGGTGAATGCCAAAAATGCATCCATTTTAACCTCTGCTGACAACTACAAAGCTTTATGCGATCACCTTCACACCTCTTTTGCGAAAAAGTCTCAAACTCACATCTTCAGCCTCCGTCACCATCAAAGTTGAGTCAACAAGGATAACAAATATGATGTTGACTATTAGCCTGAGATTCGATCTCTATTTGATTAACTTTCCACAACAGGTTTACCAGTCAATAACGAAGAACTTGTGGTGAATATATTGAGTGGAATTGATCCGAAATTTCATGAGATTTCAGCAGCAATACGGTCACACAATTCCCCCAATCAACTACACTGAGTTATTCGACAAACTTCTTGATCACGATGTTTTCCTCAAACATGAGGACCTAAAAAAGACCACCACTCAAGTGACAGTAGCAGTTGCTCAATGCATCACATATTCCCAATCTTCTTGATGTAATTCTCGACGCCCACCAAACAACAACACTTGGCATCCACCAACTAGGAAGCCCACTCAAAATGCCATTCCTCAAGATTCAAATAATAGTTCTCAATGGCACAATTTCTCGCAACAAACCTCACGAGTCCGCTGTCAAATTTGTTACAAATTTGGGCATACGACAAAAAAATTGTAGTCCAAGATCCCATAACTACTTTGAAGCAAAGGCTAATTTTGTTGCCCAACCGGTTCATTACCCCTGGATTGTTGACTCGGGTGCATTCCACCATATTACCTTCGATGCAAATTCCCGACACAAACACATTAGTCGGTGCTACTTCCGTTGCTGCAACAGTGAACAAAGGAAGGAAAAGAGATGCTTTTGTGAGCCATTGCAACTAATTCTAAAAATAAAATACAAGCAATCTTCGTATTTGTTGGCGACCTTCTTACTACCCCTCCACTGCTTCACACGCTTCACTAGTTAGAAATAGACGATAGAATGACCGATTAGGGTCAAACATTACGTAGGTCTTGTTATGGACCTTAATATACAAGTTAATTTATCATATTATACATTTTACTATGATTAATTTTACGGCACGGACATATCATACATATAGTATGCAATGTTATAAGATAGCATTAATGTTACAAAATTAATATTTATAAGTAAATAAATATAATTTAAAGAACATAAGACAGGAACTTTTAAATGATTAACAAAGATTGTCATAGAGTTGCTTGTACTTGAGATAAAAATGAACAGATATTATTAAGCATTTCCAAATAATTGAGGGCATGTTTGAAAGGCCACAAAGGAATTGAGAATTGGTGTAATTACTTTCTTTGTCATGTTTAGTAGACCAAGTAATTACCTGGAAAGAGGGGAATAAGGTGTAATTGAAGGGAAGTAATTACACTCCTCAATTCCCAAAGAAGATTACGGAATCGAGTGTAGTTACACTGTGTAATTACATGAATTTTTTTAGTATTATCTTTTTAACATATATTTTTGAAAACTAGAAGATACTTCTTTTTTTCCCGGACATTTTCAATTCTCACAACAACACAACAACAAATGTTGTACTTCTTCTTTCATGTAAGATTTATTTTTACATTGTAAGATTTATTTTTACAATTTATTTTACTTTCATATTTTGATTTTTAGGTAGATTATGTATCAATTTGATCTTTTTATTTTCTTTTGCTAGTTCTTTAGATTAAAATGAATATGAGAATTAATTTTTTTCTTTAGTTTCTGATAAAAATAAAAAAATTGAAAATCAATTCTAAGAATTAGTTATACATATTTCCTTAAATTACAAATCATCTGGGAATGTAATTTCAGGATCTATTTGGTTTCAATAAAGCATGACTTTAAGCATGTTGGCTTGGTTATTTCTCTTCTTTGTCATACTAGCTTATGAGTTTTTGAAGTTCGTATCAGTCTATATACCAATTCCATTTTCTTTTGTTTTCATAGACTCTTTAATTGAGACTAAATCGTTTATTCTTTCAAAAGAGTTACCCCCCTCCCGCTATTACTACTACAAATATACTAGCCGCGACAAGAGATGAAATAGGACCAAAGTCGTTTAAAGCGAAAGAAGTTCGAAAAACAAAACTCTATTTCCAGGAAATTGCGCACCATGACCTCGTACTCACTGGGTGAAAGTCCCTGGTTTATTGGCCTTGTCATACGAATTCCACCCATTCAAGGTCCTTATCAGGTTGATTAATATAGCGGTCCAAGAGTAAGAGCTCGGATGGAACAATACCAAAATGGAATGTAAGCTATTCACGGGAAAAAAGGTCAGAGGGAGATTTTGGAATTGTGGCCATTAACAAGCACTATGTCTTCCTTATTATAGGGATAATTGAAAGGAAACCCGTTTGTCAAAGGAAAGGGAAGGTCCTTCTTCCGGGATGGAGTCGTATGACGCGAGAGTGTCACGAACGGTTCCTGGTTTCTTCCCATTAATATTTTTTTTATTTAAAATTGTCTAGTTGATTGTTACTATGCATAAATATTATCCCTCGTAGCAATAGTAAGTAGGAAAATAAAAATATCAACCCTAAGCTTGACAACCAAATAAACTTTAAATAGGTTAATAGTCTCGCTTGGGCTAGAAACTACCTTCTAAATCACATCGTAGATGATGCTTCGAACCAAAATGATTTTTGTTTCATCTCTTGCCATACTTGATATATGTGATTAAACATATTCATACGGTAAATTTGAGAAGGAGGTGCATTACTCCTTGTGTTACTAGAAGAACAATCAAGTTCACCTTGCCAAAATTGACCTCATAGCCTGCTATAGTGAAGTACTTTTTTGCCTTGAAACTTTTTATATTTTCTTTTATGTAGGATGACAACTAACTGAAGGATGGGATAATGTAGAAAAACAAATGAACAAGCTATATTGGGAAAAATTAGATAATACTAAAATAAAAAATAAAATGAGGACTTTGAAAAAGATATATGCTACTAAAAAGAGAATATAACAACATAATTATCAAACCCCGATCTACTTTCGAGACGCGGAAAGGAGACCTAGGACCACAAGTGATCCCAAGCTAATCCAGATGGCATGATCATAAGCATACTAAATATAAACTAAATAATAAATTGATACAGAAGGTATAATCATAAATAAAATGAAAATATGGGGAATATCCATATACTATAACTGAGATATATAAAAGCTAAAGAGTTTAATATAAAGTAGATATTAACTCCATACTAAGATAAATCTAACTCTGTCTAAAAAAAGCCTAAATGTTGGGACAAGACTAAGCTAAGTCTAGCAAAACTGAAACAAAAGGACTAAAAATACTGAAAAGAAACTCATGGCTATTATCCTCAGAGAATGAGGACCTACCACTGATTCTGCTGAATTAAAGACCGAGAACCGATTTAAGCGTTACATGGATGTTTAAAACCTGAACCTACATCACGAGAAGTTGTAGCACGTATGCGTCAGTAATTGAAAGTTACTGGGCATGTATGATATAGTAAAGTTGAAATAACATATAACTGAACAAAGAAATAAAATAATGAAATAGTTTGAAGATGATAAAGATGTTGAAATACTGAACATGACTAATCTTAATGCAATGACGTTATAACATGTTGTGACTGAAATACTGAAACATGGTCAATGTAATGGAGTGTAACTAAACTGCAGAGCTGCTAATTATCAATGATAGAATCACATGACCTAAATATGGAGTCTGATGTAAATGCCTTATCCCGAAGACCCAATATATTATGCAAGAGGTATAGAGGAATGATGAAGTCATCACTAAAATGATGCCCACAAAGGGGACTTACAATCTACGCGGCTAGTAGCTCTGGAACTATTTGGATACGGTGAACCCTAGTCCAACTTTGTCTTTTGCTACTTCCAATGAATTAAGTAGTCAAATAATTATTGCTGAGTTTTTGTAAATACTGATTATCTCAAAATTGAACATGCAAACTGAGAATGCAATAATTAATCTGATAATCATGCATTCAAATATTGAGGCATGTACATTTTTAAATCATTTAAATATATGACCTATAATGTGTAATTAAAAAACAAAAGAAATACATATCTAGGTTTATGAAATTCAAGCAATAAATGGAGTAATAATATGGTAATCTTATTTTGGAACATATAATTAACTAATTCATGATCATTTGGTGAAATTCTAGAAATCATAGGTTTAATCATGATAAGGGAATCAAGAACACAAGTAAAATCTAGGGACCCAATTGGGGTAAGGAACCCACTATTGAAATATCACATACCTGGTGACGAATTCCAATGAGAAATTCTTAGATTTCGGGCATGAACTAATGGAGTCTTGTTGCGTTATTTAACTAGGGCTCTTGACCTTTTTTTCTTATCTTGCTTCTAATTTTCTATGTTTTAATTAATGACTTGACTTACTTAAGTTCTAGTCACATTTCTAGGTTTAAACTAACTAAAAACAGACGATTTAGGATCTAAACGACGTAGATTACCTAAACACAAGTCACAAATATAAAATACGGGTACATCTACCACCCAACCGAACCTCTAGAACAAAAATCTGCAAAAATTAAGTCTCAACCTATTAGTTCGTTGTTTACATTGTACATTGTTCCATAACAATATTCTAGAAACTACAAATAAACAACTCACGAGATCTATTTCACAAATAATACTTTCAAAGAAAGGCATTCACAATTGATATAGATATGCAATGCAATGAAATACAATTCCTAGTATAGTGATTCATGTCCTAACCTAAACAGCCTAAAAATGAACTAGGAAAAACTAGAGATTCAAATGAGTTTCTTGAGTTATTAAATTTCTATTTAATTATCAATACTATCCAAGGGGAGATTGGAGGTTTTGAAGTTAAACATCAATGAACGACCAAGATGTTTTGAAACTAGTATTGTATGTAATAGTGTGCTCTTGCATATTTTATGTCTTTTGGTGTGTCGTTTATCATCTAAAATTATGGGAGGTGACCCTAGTGCATAGAATCTCATGTGTAGGGGGTTCAAATTCAAGGAATGACTCTCCAAGAACACATTTAGGGTTCCTTGAGGAGGACCCTAAAGTCAACCCTCAAAGCTGCAAAAATGGGGTGACATACGACCAGTAGCTCATCTGATGAAGCGTCAACCCCTCTGTAGGTAAATAATTATCCTATATATCTTTAGATGCCATGTCCATGCCTCATAAAAGTTTGAAAACCTGCAGGACGGTCCGTCACATCACCTATGGTCTGTAGGTGGTAGCTGTTTATCAGGCCAACAATTCTCTCTTGTCACAGCCAAGTAAGGGGTGAATTAGTAAAATCACCCTATGTTCCAATTAATCCACTAACGGTTAATTTTTAGTGTTTTTAGGTATTTTAATTTTATTAAATAAATTAAATCCTCACTTAGACTCGATCACCAAAATAAAACTCTTCCCTCTCAAATATATTCTCTCAAAAACACCATTGAAGGTCTAGGTCAGATTCAACCTAGGAGAAGGGATTTCAAGTGTTTTATTCATCTATTTTTCTGTGTTTTCTACCAATAAGTTGTGGTGATACTTCTTCTTGAATAATCTCTCATTCAAGAAGTCCAATTCCAATGTTTTTAGAAGTGAATTAATGATGAATTTCCTAATTTCTACTCTATGCATGAGTTCATTGTTAAAATGTTTTCTAAGTCATGATATTGATATATTAATTTTAAATCAATGTTTTTAATATGATTATAATTGAATTCCTTGAATAATCCATGTTTTGTCCAAATCTCCTAAATTGACTTACAAAGTGGGTTTGATGAATGTGATTGCATATTGTTACAATTGTGTTTATATTATGTTATATAACTTTTATCTATTGATATACATGACTAACTATGATGAATTGTTGGACAATGGATAAAGGGTGATTATGGATTTAATGAAGGGTAAGTTGACCTAAATTGTTCTAGTTCTTATTAAATTTCCCTTGTGCGGTATGGTCCACTTATGATGGTGGTGTTTAGTTGATGTATATTAATAGTATATGTATTGTGGTTGTGACCTTGAAGGCACTTAATGTGAAGTAAATAAATGTTATGATGTTTATGTATAAATACGTCTTATGAATCTATTAATGTGATTCTTGACAATAGTATGATAATTGAAGTACAATGTTAATGTAAAGCATGATTTTGTGTGGATACTGACGAATGTAGTATGATAATGATTAGAAGACAATGTTATGAATGATGGTGGTCATGTGAAAGTCTTTATTACATATACACACACATGAATGAATGAATGATGCTAATGAAAATGTTATGTATGTGGGTTTATTGAAAGGTTTTCTAAATAGAACTCTAATAAATGAAAGGGTACTTTGAGGTTGATACACTCTGTGAGTAAAGGTGTAGTGTCTTGTAAAAACCTTAATATTTCTAAGAGGTTTCCAATAAATGAATGATAGATTGGGATGAGTATTCTTTCCTTGAGTAGAGGTAAAGTACTTAGTAGCAATCCGGTAAACTATAGCTAATGAATGTAATGAAAGTCAAATACTCTGCGGGGATTAATGCTTAGCACAAAGAGGATTCAAAAGGGATGGATACTCGTTGTGAGTAGGTATGTAGTATTAAAAAGTAATCTTTTAAGATGGGTACTCCCTATGAGTTGAGGTGTAATACTTAGAAGAAATCTCCCTACTCCCTTAACTATGCCCCCACATAGGAATAGCTAGTGGTGTTCCACAAAAAGGCTAAAAATGATGCTACTATAGACAAGTGCAGATCCCTCATTCGGAAGGGGTAAATACTCGGATTCCATGTTAAGATCTCATGGTCTATGTCGGTTAATGCTTGCCCCCATAAATAAATGTAATGACGAGGTCTTCCTGGGAGTGTTCTAGTTAGGGTTGGTGGTAGAATCGGACACCATCTATTCATTTCAAAAGTATGCATTTGGAGGGAGTCTTTGTGTGTCCATGAATAGAAAATAAATGAATGAGTTTCTATATGACATTAACGAAGTAAGTTTACTTTATGTCTAATGTTGAAGAAGCATGTTGGTCTTCTATCTAATGTTAATGAAGATTATGTGTATGGTAGAATGTGATATGCCTAGTGTAGGGTTGTTCTAAGGAAGCACTAAGTGGGAGTAGTAGAATGGTATGCTACTTTCACATTGCACTAGTTTAACTTAGAATTATCCTAAGGAATGATCTTTATGTGAAGTTCTTAAATGCACAAATGTTTCCTCTAGTATCTCTCGTAATGAATGTTGACTTGTTGAGTTGTGATGGAAACGAATATCCTTATCTTTGGTATTCTTAAGGAACACTTAGGTGTGTATTGAAGAGTTTGAATGGGCGGTCTCTTTATGTCTTAGTTTGGTAGGTCTTAGGATAGCATTGCATAGAGGGTCTAAATGGTTAATGGGTAACTTAATGAATATGGTTATATGCTTAGAATTATGAGAAGTATTACTTTGTATGATGAAGATTCACTTGTACGATGTCTCTTACACTTTGTTCAAAAAATTTTATCAAAATAGCATGAAAAACATACTCTTTAAATCATGTTTTTACGTGATTGCCATACTTAGTGCTTAGTTGTACTAACTCCATATTCTTCTATATTTCTACAAGTGTAGGAGGCTCAAAGTGAGGATCTTAGAGTTGAATCTTGGGATTAGATTGTTATCTCAAGGAACTTTGTATTTCCTCATATGTTCGAGGACATGGATGCTCTTTCTAGTTTTTTTTTCGTTAATGATTTTGTATAAAGACTATTATATTTCCTTCAATGTGAGGGTTATGACCTATGAGAATAAGATGGGTCAAATATGACTTGTGATGTAACATTCTGGAAAATTACATTTCTAGTGAAGAGCCCAATAGGTCTTTAAGAATGTGTATTGGAAGTACATAGGCATCCTAACTCCCAATATTGAGAAATATTTGGTATAGTATAGAAAATTTGCTAAGGGTATCAGCCAATTTCTATATAATACCCATATAAGTGAAATATTGGGCATATTACAAAATATTAGATTAAAGGGGTGTTAGCCAATTTCCTAACATTAATGAGCTTGTCCAAGATATGTACCTGCAAGGAAGACCCTAAGCTAAGATTCTATATTCAACCATATCAACCATTTCATCACATTAGGTATGAGTCATCCAAGTGCCAAGCCTAGATATAATGGCACATGATTAATTAAAATGATCATGTAGATTAAGCAGTGCCCAAGGACATAGTGAGGATGCTTGGGACAATAAGTAAATATTTTCAAATGAACCATAATAATAGTTAGTTAAAAAAATACAAGCAACCCATGTCAAAGCACATAGGGAGCAATAACCATGAGGGGACCACCCTAACCGAATTTTGTTAGGGTAGTTAGGGAGCAGGCGTGCACATGGGTTCACCCATGTGGGGCATAGGTATCAAA